CCACTCAGGAGTGGCTTGCAGGAGTGCTGCCGCTTCGTTTAAATTAGGTTGAGTGCCACGCAGGAGAGCTCTCCGGCGTGAAGGAGAGGCTCTCCAGCGAGGAGGAAAAGATCGCCTGGTTTTCTTCTGAGGAGTGCACCCAAGCGTGCTTTGACTTATTCTGCGCAATGGATGCGGCGAAGAATGATCCATGGAGTCGAGAAACGCTGAGAGAGCTTTTTTCCTTGTACAAGGAACGAGAAAACTTGTGGAACTGCAAGCATCCTTCATATTATAAGTCAAATGTTCGAGATGCAAGCTTAAACGAAATAGCAACCCAACTGGGTGTTGCATCTAAGGAAGTATACAAGAAGTTTCACAATCATAGGACCCAATGGGTGAAAACCCATAGCAAATACCTTGCAGCAATGAAGTCGGGGATGTCTCCTTCTCAGAAACCATCTTTGTGGTACTACTAGGTGGGTCTTATTTCTATTTTCTTGAAGTAAGTTAGCCTTATGAGTTTAAAATTGGTGAATGTTATATTTTCTCATTCTTAAGAACAGTTTTTGAGCAATAGCTTTTATATTTTTAGATATAAAAAATTTTTAATATTAATATTATTATTATTATTAAGAAGTTTTAGTAAGTGCTTTCTAATATAAAGCATCTTCTATTGAGGTTCATAGCCGTTATCTTTATGGTACCTTTTATCTGACAATTTCTCTCATCACACATTGTTGCTGCGACTAATTTCTCGTTTGCAGGATCTGCTGTTCTTGAGCAATCAAGCTGTACCTAAGCAGAGCAAGTCGAATTTGAATGAAGAAGATGATGGGAAAGCAGAAGAAAGTCAGTCTGAGGTAACTGTGGTAAGTATTTTTTTAGCTCTGTCGTCATAAAAGAAACATTTCTCCTCGATTGTCATCTTTATTATTTTGCTAAAAATTAAACAAACTTTCCTTCCAAAAGGAATTCATTTCCTGGCATACTTCTCTTGCCATGGGATAGCTCTGCAACCATTGAAGTATCTTACAAAGTCTTCGCGGACACTTTTAGCTGCTTATTGTTGTCGTCGACCACATGGTCTGGACAAAGAAACGAAACTTCCTTGTGGAATGGCTTCCTCGCGCCAAGAGCCAGGAATAGCGTTACCATTTTCGTCTTCTTTGTCAGTTTCGTTATCATTTCCTGATGTGGCTCTCAGGAAGTTGTACAGGCAACAACATGTCCAAAAAATTTCTTCAATTTTCTCGATATCCAAATTGATAGATTGTAACAAAATTCGGAATTTATTGGCCATGATGCCAAATGCATTTTCAATGACTCGTCTGGCCCTGGATAACCTGTAGTTGAAAATCCAATATGATGGGGTGAGACTGAATCAGGGAAAGGGTTTCATCATGTACGTTTTTAGAGGGAATGCTTCGTCCGCCACCAGAACGTACGGCGATTCTTTAGAAAATCCTGCACATTCCTCTGCTTTTGGAATTCCCAATGCATTGTCCTCTAGTGCTCTTGCAAGGGAACATTTGTTGTAGACTCCTCCGTCAGAAATTCTTCCATTGGTGCCAATGNTCCCAATGCATTGTCCTCTAGTGCTCTTGCAAGGGAACATTTGTTGTAGACTCCTCCGTCAGAAATTCTTCCATTGGTGCCAATGTCCACAAAAATGAATTTGTAATTAGCATCGCAAACTCCCATCAATACAATGGACTGTGTCCCTTTGTAGTTGTAAAAATAGGAACCAGAGCCAGGTGGGTGCCTTATCACCACATGCTTCCCATCTATGCTTCCGATGCAATGCGGGAAATTCCAAGTTTTTTCAAATTCTGTTGCAATTTGTCTCCATTCTTCCTCGGTTCGGGGAACCTGAAAATATGGAATCTTTATTATCATCATTTTCCCTTTTTTTTTGCAGGAATCGGTTGATGATGGAGATTCGATTCAGGGCGATGGTGAGCCAGAGGCAAAAAAGAAGCCTCGTCAAAAGAAAGGCGACGAGATCATGAACCGTGCTTTAGAGGATATTGGAGGACTGACAAAGTCGCACAAAGCCTTGCAGCTAGTCGCAGCAAACCCCAGTAACATGAACAACCACCAAAGGAGATAAAGGAGCATGACGGCTTTTGCATGGATTTGGCTGCAGAATTGCGTACACTCCAAGACCCAAAGCTGGTATCATTTTTGAAATTCAAGATACAGGAGTTGATGTTTCAGGCAAAATGTGGGATTCTACAAGTACCACTTCCATTGGCGGCAGCTCAGCGGCAAAATCATGCCTATGAATTTCCATATCAACAACATTATCATCAACTGCAACTGCCACAATATTCTACTTCCAGCCCTCTTGAATCATGGTCTTCGTGCAGCCTAAATGACAACAGCCGCGAGAACAAAGTTGATCTCTCCTGACAGAATTTTGCAATACAATATA